CCGCGATCGATCCGTACCGATATCTCTGAATCCGCCACTCGATCATAAATTAAAACATTTTTGAAGCAATTAAATGAATACATCGATTTACCTACTTTAGCTGACACTTTAGGTTCTCTTTCACGATAGATTACTAACTAATAGTATTTAATCTATTAATAAATAACAAAATGAGTTACAGATTTTTTTGCACAATGTTACTATTTTACATTAATAAAACAACTAGATTGCTTGTAACTCGTTTAAAATTACTATAAACAAATAAAAACTTTTTCGTTTTATTGCAAAATTTATTACTGTTATACAAAAGAATTTACTTTATAACTCGTAAGGTTTTATTAATAACATTATTTTAACTGTGCAAGAGAACTTTTTACCAGTATAAAGTCATACTAAAGTGGAAATATCTTTCTGTTTTTACTATATTGATAGTAATTACTAGATCGATAAAAATTAACCTGTAACTGTAAAAGAAGACGTTTCAGCGCCTTAAATCCTCTCAAAATCCTGTTTTGGAAACCAAAACTTCAAATCAGTACTGTCCACTTCCAAACCTGAAAAATTTTATAACCTTATGACATATCTCTTTTTCACCAAAAGTATATTAATTGTATTATTCTTCAATTTACCTTAAAACTCCATCCAAATGACTTGTTACCAAAAATCATCACAGATATTTCACATTAAATTTACATTTTACACTTTTAAAAATTAGAACACGCAGTGCGTAACGATACAACGTTCTCTCAATCGGAAGTAGAATTCAAACTCGCTAATTTATCGAACATCTATCCGTATCAAAATAACGTTAAAAACTTTCGAACACTCCATTTATAGATACGATATGGCGATGCAATGCATGTTGGACGATAAACTCGACGCAGCAGTACGAATTGTATATAAAAGTAACCTAGCCAAGCACTATGCGGAGCCGTATATATTATTAGGCGATTACTTTCTGAAAAATAAGGATATCGATACAGCACTGAAATCATACTTAAAATGCCGCGAAAAGATACGCGAGATGGAGTATCCGGTATCTCAAAAGACGATTGATCTGACAAAACGAATAATCGATATTCTAAACGATAAAGCAGAAATGGCGGTAAATAAGGGACATTCGAATCAGGCTATAGATATAACTACGCAAGCGCTTCAAATACTCGAGGAAGATAAAATACCATTGCAAGAATTACGCTTACAGCGTGGTCGTATCCTTCTTTACAAAGCTCGTGCCCTATTTCAGATCGAGAATAAACAGAATAAGCGAAAGAAACGAAGCTGTGAAATTGCAGCTGATAGTATGCGATTTGTTCGCGAACTAAACGCAGATCTATATCAAACTTTGTATAACGATAGAGATATCGAAAGTGTCATCGATCGATTTGCACCAACTCGGAAGCTACCGCGATCCTTGAAAATCCTTATGCAATTTTCTTAAGAAATATTGTTATATGAATATATTTTAAAAGAATTTTAAAGAAAGGTAAACTTAGAATATTTCAATGATTTGGAAGTATTATTTCGAGGCTAATAAATTACGGAGACGGCTAATAAATTAATGAAACAGAATGAAGCGATATTAAAAATACTCATCTGATGCAATATTTTGAAAACGTTACTCTCGAAGAAGATACCTGTATCTCCTTTTATCAGTATCCTTGATTGTATTATAGTAAACACATAGCACGTATTTAAAAAAAAACATTCACATTAATGTATTTTCTTTGCACAAAATTAAAATCGTATCTGCAATTGTATGCTCTCAATAAAAAAGATTGCATAAAATAATATTGTATATCTATAATAATGTTTCTTATTCTTTATAACTAAACTATTAAAAAACTATTCCTCTTTTTATTCATAAATTTCTAATATCTCATGCAGTATAACATTCGATAAAGACATTTATAAAATTGATTATACGATTTTATTTTATTATCGTAAGATCACCGTTATTTTGTCAATTCATATATTTTGCTTTTCCAATTCATATATATTAAAAGAAAAAAAGTTAAGTACTACAGATAATTACGCAAAATTTATTTCTCAAGGAAAGTGTCCTATATCAAAACACATCCTATCTCTAATAAATTGTCTACCATCATAAAAGTATTAATATCCTGCATGATTTATTATTACAGTTTCCTGCAAATAATGCAATATCGTTTCAAATGTCAATATAAGAACAACCTACATAGTACCCATGGTCGAAGAAAAGCTGACTGATATATTTCTGTCTGTCTGAAGATTAACGCGACCTCGGTAATCTTGGGCCACAATTTTACTCCGGTATAAAAAGAGGCGCCAGTGCTTTAAAATGCAGATACATTTTGTAACTTCAATTCCACAGTTCTTTCTCGTATAATCACACAAATCAAACACATCATCATGGAAGAACGTTGGGTTGACAAAGTTGCTTTGATTACTGGAGCCAACTGTAGCAGTGGCAAATGCCTAGCAGAATGTCTGGTTGGCAAAGGAATGAAAGTTATTGGCATTGCCTCACAGGTTGACAAAGTAAAGGTATGCTTCTTGTAAAAATTATTCTTTGAACAAGTAACAAGTAGTACAACTTCATAATAAATAAAATTTCATTACTATAAAAAAAAGTCATCTTCATTATGAGCTTCAAAAATATTTCATCACCTATTTATTGTTAGTAGATTTAAGGCAACTTCACTCTTCATTCTATTCAGCATTTTTACCTTCTTCTACATAGAAGTACTGTGGTCCATGATCATATCTTCAATGTTCAATAGTGTTGTTTAATTTTACATAAATCGCAAAATGTTTCATTTAGATAAACGTAGATTTAAAACAGTTTCTTTTCTTTTGTATCTTTACGTTTTTGTTTATAGAATAATTATATAGAATTCAAATGTTATTAACCCTAATTCTAAACAGGCACTTGCTGAGGAACTAAAGTCGAAGCCTGGAAAACTGTTTCCTCTACAGTGTGACCTTTCCAATCAGAATGACATCCTGCGTGTTTTGGAATGGGTTGAAAAGAATTTAGGAGCCATAGACATCCTCATCAATAACGCTGCTAATAACATAGATATCTCACTACAGTCTGGTGAAATGGAAGACTGGAAGAAAATGTTTGATGTAAACTTCCTTGGATTGACTTGGATGACCAAGGAAGCTCTGAAGTTAATGAAGAAGAAGGGTAGGTATTTCTAAAATGTAAAGAAGTCAAAGAAGTATGCTTCAGTGTCCAGGATGCAAATTTTTCGTATTCTCTTATTATTTTATTCTACAGGAATTGACAATGGTATTATTGTAAACATTAATGATGCTTCTTGGTTGAAAGCACCAATTAATTGTGATCGTCCAATATCCCCAGCTTACATAGCCAGCAAATTTGCTTTGAATTTCTTGACAGAAAGCCTTAGATCTGAATTAGCACAACTTGAATCTAACATCAAAGTCATTGTAAGTGTCCTACTATGTTTATTCTTGCTTCTGCAGCTACTTTGAAATTCTATTCTTGATGATTACTGTGTGTGTTTTTTTATTATAGTCAATTTGTCCTGGTTTGGTGGAGAGTGAGATGACTGCTCAATGGTTAAAGGAAAATCCTCGTATGGCTTTGAAACCCAAAGATGTGTCTGATTGTGTTCTCTTTGCGTTACAATCTCCTGACTCAGTACTCATCAAAGAAATAGTTGTCTCACCAATCCGTGAAGCGATGTAAAAGAAAGATATCATATCGATTATTTTACTAACTGTTTAATGTAAAACGTGATAATTAACACTTGTAAATATAACAAATAAAAATTTTTGCAATATATACATACATACAAATCAGTCGTTCTTCATAAAGTTTAATATTGCTTCATAAGATATTTGTATTGATCAAAGGCTGTTACAAACAACTCAGAATCAAGAAGAAAAATAATTTATTCATTGATCGTGTAACAAAGATATGATAAGATATATGATAAGAAAGAAAATAAAATTACTATATTTATGAAATAATAAAATTAAATATATTAGATATATATATCTAATATATGTAGAATATTTGTAACAAATATTAATTGCAATAATATTAGATACAACCGATCTTACAAAACGATTACTTCATAAATCCAAGCAGCGGAACTCTGCCCTCCTATTGATCCTTGATGGATCATCTGAACAGAACTAACAATAGATTAATAATATCACATTTTCTTCTTTTTCGTACTACTTACCTAAATTTCTTTGTTATTATAGACATTGGGAAACATTTCTTCACACTTTGTTAGTACCAATCGATTTTTATTATACGTAACAAATATTTAAATAAAATATTCTTTTTTAACATAAAAAAAGTATACTTAGACCATTCTTATTAGAAAATATATTTTTTGCTTTTATTAAACTTGTAATATCATGTTTTTAATATCATGTATTTCATTTGAACTTTAGAAGAAAATAATTCGCGAAAGAGGGTGAATCCATACTCACGTATATTTCCCTCTTGCTTCCTTGTACAAATACATGAAAAGAAATGTAAGATCGATCAATATTAGTTGTGTACTAAATTATAAAAATATATTACTTTTTTAACAATAAACATTAGTTGAGGAAAGGAATTCAGGATATATCCAGAAACACTATCAGCAATAAAACAATCAAACATCTTTTATTCCTGCTTCCTGAAACAGACATTGACGATCAGGAGTTTTATAAAATTCCTCTTATCGTCGTGAAGTAACAAACGTAAATGCGAAGGTCTCTAATTGAACAGGGTGACTGGGTAACTGGGTAACTATTAAGGAATAGTTAATACTACTATCAGGAAACGGACATTCACTCTTGTCAATAATTTTGTGAGAGAAACTTCTGTTTTCAGGATTGAAAAATATCTGTGTCTATATACGTATATAGGTGTGTAAGCTGAACATAAGGATGGTGATGAATGATTAATGTAACCACACTAAAACAGATCTTTCAAACAGACGAAATATTATATCTGTTACACACATTTTAAGTTAGTCTCTCAAAAAGGTGGATCTCTCTAATATCATTTTTCTGATTCTTTGACAGGGCATTTTTGGTATCGTTTAGAAGAATTGCATGCAGAACAAATGTATATATATCGAAGGAACGTCAGAGATATTAAACTTGAACAAATACCTTACAGCGAGTGTGTGCGAATCATCCGTTTTCGATCATCCGTGTGTTATCCGAAAAATGAGATATCCGACTATTTTTATTTATTATTTATATATACTTTTTTTTTAATTCCTGTATTGATCCCGACAAGTGCAAGTCCAAATCCCGTATCTGACCTAGGCGATTATAATCCATGAAACCTATTTGACGTATAAACGAGCGCAGCCACAAGTTTTGCTTTCTTTTTGTCTATATAATTTATCGACATTTCGATAATCCAACTCCATCCAAACGGCATGAACACGGCGTATATATTCTGTCCGGTCAAAAGATCCAAGTAATCCGTTTATTTATAGAATCCAAGTAGAATATTTCCAGCCAATTTATCCGTTTATCCAAAATATCCATCATGAACACTAACTTTATATCCTGTCAGCATCCTAATCCAACACACCGTATCTCTGCCGAATCCTGTCTTTCTGTTTTATCATTTACTTTTTGTTTTCGTCCCGGGAGATCCTCTACAACTAGGGAGAGCCAGGTTCTTGTTATAAGATGAAGCATTCGTCTTATTTTCCAACCCAAACGTTAATATCCTCTTGCACCGCGCATCAAGTCCCGACGAACAAGGTGAAGTTCTTACTATACATATGTAGCACACGTATACAAATTGTATATACACACGGTGTCACGATCAATCGAAATATGCAATAAAAAAATCGAAATAACCGAGAGGAAGAGCAATCGGACGATTTTCGATCACGAGGTAGAAGGCAAACCCGTGAGAACACACTATTTTTTGCAACGCGAATTTTTTCTCAGAGGACCACTTGTTCGTTCTCCATGATCCTGAGGAACGCTAATCACGGAGTTAGATAGTTCGATATGGTATACCGCCTATGCTAATGATTATATTTGCACAAGTCGAACAAGAAACGAGGAAAATTTCTCAACCGAATCGATTTTCTCGCGTTGAATCAGTCACCAAGTCTTATATTCTTTCCGTATAAGTTTTCGCGAATCATCGATCACTGAACGCCGATGGGTGAGAATTATGATATATTTCTGGTTAATAGAGTTTCTCTTTGAGAATGAGAATCAAAGTTATCATGTCGGTAATAATAAAAATAATTCTCGACTTACGAACATCTGACATACGAAGCTATAAGCGAGTACTTTCATATAAAATAAAACTTTTGCAATGTTGACATTCCATTACCAGTTTGTTTGCTCTTTTTTAGATCGTACAGAACGTAATAAAAAAATTGCAAAAATCACTCTCTTTCTTTCTCGCTTTATGTACGCGTAATTGTAATAGAACTGAAACACTGAAACGATTAAGAAATCTATACTACAACCACGTAATATGTCGAAGATGTTCATTCTGCGTTTTTCAATTACGGTATTATTATCTTTTTTCCGTTTAGTTTGTCAACGCAGAAGCACTGCTATGTCACGATTAAATAATTTTTTTTACGTTTGTTTAACGATTCGAAAGAGAAAAATATATTGAATCCTTGTAATGGATTTGCCAACGTTTTCTGATGAAAATCCAGCTAATTGAGAATCCTTGAATGAAACGGATTGTGTCTTTCATCCAATTCCTTTCCTGAATTCCTGATCCTGAATTTCCTCTTGAAAGTATCCTTAATGCCTCATTATTTTTGCATTCTCTTAATCCTTTTTTATAATATATGCTCCATACATAAATCCATCCAAAACGCATTCCATCTCATCCCACCGTCAAGCGAATGTGTATTATATCCATCCAAGAAGTAAGATCGTGTCGATTTCAGTTTTTCATTCATTGTGTTACAATCCAATCCAATATACAAAAGAAGAAAAAATACATTAGTCCCTTATACAATATGCATTAATATTATATATAAAATTTATCACTGCAAATGTAATCCCTGTGACTTACAATATTTGAGTAGTGTTTTATAAATTGAGCAAATACTATACAAAACAATGCATATTTGCTTACATTAAATTTAAATTTTCACATTTTTATATTTAGTGAATGAATGTAAATAACGTAAAAAGGACACAAATATCACAGGATCAATTTGCAATAATAATGTTCTCAAGAATACACGAAATCATTGTTTTCCTTCAACATCTTTAATTTATGATTGAAAATTCTATAGTTTAGGCATGTATTGCAAAATTTCAAGAATTAGTCTGTGTAATTTTTAAAAGGAAAACGTTAAACGAGAAATGTGTAACAAATTTCCAAATGACTCATTTCATCATAAAAACACATTTCTCTCCAGATATGTCGTGTATAACTTAAAATTTAATTCCATATTTCACAAACATCCAAATAATTGTAACAAACATATTGTTATGGTCTTAATAATAATTTCAGTATGAGTTGTTTGATTTTTCACTTTAAGGTGATACATAACACACAGTTCTTTTTATCAAACCAAACAAATGGCCCAATGATCGTCGTTAAAGAACACTCAAATACATAAAACATTTTAAGCTAATTATTATACCGAATGAACAATATCAGTGCATAATAAATGATAGATAGATAGATAGATAGATAGATAGATATATATATATATATATATATATATATATATATATATATACGTCAGCTTTCCCCAAAGCAAATTGGTCTTATGAATATTAATCTATTAGTAAAAAATAAATCTTTTGCTTATATTTATTAAATATTATGTCCTATATGCACTATCCGTTGACGAGTATCGATGTATTACATTATCTACGTATTAAGTGTTATATTTTCAGCAAATATAATATTTTGTATTGTCATCACTAGATAGCCAAAATTATCGTACTTAAATTTGCGTGGTAACTTAAACGACGACGAGCCGTGTAGACAACTTTGATGTATTTATTCATACATTAATTGTTTGTAAGAATTTATAGTTTTCAATAATTCCTTTTAATATATTTCATTAAATTAATGTTTTAAAATCCAAATCCATAAAATTTATAGGATAATAAATATCAAATGGAATTATATGTGACGGAAAAAAGAAATTTTAGAATTCCTATAGCAAATAATTACAGTAAAAAATGTTTTGATCAAGTATTGAATACAATATCCATTATGCAATATACTGTATTTTATCTTGCATAACATATATGAGTGTTAAAAATATACGTTTTCCTCATTATCTATTATTTAGCATTTTAATTTATATGCACAATAATTTTCAGCTGTTAACAATAAGAAAAATGTTAGCTTTATGAACTTATATGATAAGCATTCAGCATTAGAAGCTTAAAAAAATTCCATGTTACATATGCTATAAAATGTGCTGTATTTATCACTGCAAATGTGATTAAATAAATGTGAAAAAACAAAGGCTATGTTCACATCAAGTTTTATAGTAGAGCTACCAATGATAAATATCATACAGTACAATGTGAATGATCATGTGTTAAATCAATAAATGAAGGCATTCACATCGAACATAGATTATATTGGCAGCTGTACAACAAATACTATTCACCAATGTGAACATTGATTAAATCACTGAAGTAATATGAGTTACTTCCTCTTAGATCCTCATTTGTAATATTTCAAAATTGTTACATATTTTAAATATAGTTGTAGTGACAAAACAAATTGCAAAATATAAAGGAATGTATTTTTAAACATAAAAGTAACTCTAATCAGTATATCTTGAACAGTAATATGCAATTAATATGAGCACGATTCCCCTTTTTCAAGACAAAAAATTAAGATAAAACTTGGTTAATATTTACTGTTGAAAAATCTACTCTTTCAGGTTTACACAAGTTAGAAATCTTTGAATTGATAGCAACAAGGTCTTTGATAAAACAGTTTTAGTACATGTAAAATGAACCGTGCTCTAACTATACATTAGGTATAATACAATTATTAAATTCAAGCAACACAGGAATAATTTTGTAATTTATACAAAATTGGTTTGGATTGGAAGGTGTCTTTAAGTGAAATTCAAATCAGTAATAATGAAACATGGTAAAGCAAATATTGATAAGCCTTTACTTATATTACCATGTGAAACATATACGTACACACTAGTCGTATGAACGAGATCTGGAACGAGATCTTGATCGCGAGTAATTACGTCGCAATGGTGAATAGGTAGGTGAACCACGACGCCGTGGGCTATAGCTTCGTGAATGACTCCGACCTCTCTCCCTATCTTCACTACGTCCCCTATCGCCACTGTTATGATCTTCTTTCACTCGAATATAAGCTACTTCACCCTATAAACAAAAATAAAGTCATGTAAAAATAGTGTACAAATATAAAAAGTATTAACCCTTTGCGCTCGAGACGCGATTTTCAGTCGCCACGGCGTTTCATGCGGTAACTCGAGAGATAAGTGAAAAGCGACAACCTCTGTTTATTCTAGATTTCGACATCTCTAATTGATGAAAATACATTCGGGCGCCACCTCACAGAGAAAACCCTGAATATCGACGCTGGCGTCAACGTGTTAATTTGTAGGCCATTTTAGTAAGACCATTTTATGTTACCTATAAGACACTTGTTACATATGCGCAATATCATTTCAAGTTGATACTTTGTCCGACTGAAAAAATCGTTGAGCGCAAAGAGTTAAGGATAATGGCATCATTATACCTCATGAGACCTAAATCTTGAATCATCTAACTTCTTCACAGCATACTTCATATCTTCATACCGTAAGAATTCAACAACTCCAGTACCATCTTTATAAACATCAGCAAAGCACACATCACCAGCTTCACGCATATGATCCTTTAAATCTTGCCAACTACCAGAAGGAGGTAAACCAGTAACAAGGACCCTGTATTGAGACCTTCTAGCAGGTGGGCCACGTCCTCGAGAGTTACTCATTTCACCTCGACCACCTCTTCCACTGTCGCCTGCTCCACGACCACCGCGAAAATTATTACTGGGACCACCACCTCTTGGAAACTCAACACGTAGTCTATAACCATCATAATCATATCCATCTCTTGCATGCACTGCATCTTCAGCATCTCTGAAAGAGATTACTTATAGTAACAATTCTTGTGTAATTTTTATGTAACATTAAGATGTCAATATCAAGTTTCACATATATAATAAAAATCATATATTTCTTAATATGAAATTATTTCTAACTTAATAAAATTACAAACTTGGAATTTTCAAACAAAGATATTTTCTCATTTAATGAAAAAAAAAGTATTATAGAACAATAAGGATATATATTACGGAACAATCCAGTATTGTATAACTACATCTAAAAAATAAAAAATTTTTTATAGAATCATAAGTTATGGAAGGTACCTTGGATCATCGAATTCAACGAAAGCGAACGGTGGTCCTCTGCGATTTTTTAAATCAACGAAAATAACTTTACCGAACTTGTAGAAAAGATCTTGAATGTCTTTCGTTCTTATATCAGGGGGTAAATTGCCCACGTAAATTCTACATTCATTTCTACCACCGTGAGACATATTCACAGTTTTTGTTACAATTTATTGTTTTCAAGACACAAATAAAAACCACTTTAAAAAATTTCTAATCGTCTTTTAAGTCTTACACTCTCTTCATTGATGAAATAAACAAGATGGTGGTACTAGTCGAAGAGGAGCGTAATCACGAAACACAGAAAACCACAAACACTAAAGAAACCTGAACGAACCAATCAAATATTTTTCTACAATTAACAATCAATTATATATCATATTCTATATATTATTTGCCTTTTTTCTCACCGATCAGTAATCTAATTTTTTAAAATATAGCTTTCTTCAATTATATATTTCAAATATATAGAATTAGTTAAATTAATTTATTTCTTGATAAAACATATATGAATTTCTCAAGTACCTAGAAATCAAACATTATGTTTTATATATAATATTTCTTCGACCATTTCCCATTTTTTTAAATAAATCATATATTCCACTTAATATGTATTTAATTTCAAAATTTGTCAATCTAAAATTTTTTAGATATACAAATAATTTATTAGAATTTGAGTATGAAACAATTCTATTACTTTCAGTTGTATAATTAAATTATTTAAAAAATAATTATATTTAAATATTTTATTTGAATATTTGATTCATTCCACACGTTTTGAAATTAAATCCCATTGAAAACATTTGATATACAAATGAATGAAATCTATAGACATAATTGAAATAGATAGTACTCTCTAGATATATCATATCTGTTAAATTTTGTTTACGTTTTATTCTAACCTCCAAGATGTATAAAAACAATAAGTAGTGTTATATATTTGTAAATACCAGAACCATGAAGTTAATGACACAACTTGCGTTTACCACTTTTTATAATATTGTATTTCTAATTAATTAATAGTTATGAAATAGTAGCTAGAAGTAATGTGTGAATAGGCATCAACAGACTTGTAAATACAGTAATGGCATTTTCATTTCGTATTGGCACCAAATGGTGTCATGATTTTCCAAAATTGGCAAAAGAATCTGGATTTTATTTCAATATGCATAGATCCAGAACACGTGTAGATTGGAATCGTATAAGTACGCAGTATAACAAATATATTCTTTACCATTATGATTTGTAAACAGATATATTTAATCCATACTTAAAATTTCCTTTTATTCTAGGTAACATAGATATAGATCGAATTATAAGAGAAAGAGATTTCCATTCCATTGATGATAATATAAATAATGTAATAGATTATTGTTTAGAAAGTGAATACGATGTTAAAATCTTAGATCCCAACTTTGTAAAACTCTTTTGTCTTGCACAGTTAGCAGTTGAATATTTATTATATTGTAAACAATATTTAGATCATAGTGTAATTATACTAAAAGATGAACTAAGATCAAAAATTGAAGAAAATGTTAAATTGAAAAAAGAAATAACTGCTTTAGAAGAAGTAGTGAAACATATGAAAGAGAAAGTAAAGGAAAAAAGTAAATTAATAGAAACTAAAATTGGAGATACTAATGGCGAAATTTACAAAGTAATAAAATTATGAATATGTATTAATTCTTGTTGAAATAATTTTTGTAATAACATTTTGTCCACAGAAAAATAGCTTTAATCATGCAAAAATTTTATTAAACTATTTTATTTTTCTAGTGTCCACATTGTCCAAAATCTTTTATATCTCCTATGTTTGTAAGTGCACATATTATTCGTCGTCATGCTTATGCATCAGAGTTATACATGCCTACTTCTCCCATACATGAGCACTATCGCAGTGAAACTGAGAAGTTGCATAATGAAATAAAGAATTTAAAAGAAAGATTAAATGAAACAGAAAAGGTGATAAGGAATGAGTCTGAAAGGATTTCAGAGGAAAAAATATTAAGTTATAATAGAAGGCAAGCTGAGAGTGAAAATGAAAATTTTAGATACAATAGTAACAAATCTAAAGAACATTCAGAGTATAAAGAATATCAAGAAGAAATAAAAAATTTGAAGACCATGCTTTTTGATGAAATACATGTATGTATAAAGTAAATAAATATGAAAACTTCTTACTAATGATTTAAATGATAATATAAATATTCATATATATGTATACATGTATACACACATCAATATTTCAACAGAATTTAAGGCAAAAGGAAAAAACCATGCATGAACACACATCTGAAACAAACGTCCAAACATTCATAAATCAGCAAGAGAAAGAATTTCAAAAGCTAAAGAATCAATTACTTGACAAGGTAAGTAAAGTATACTTTTCATGAAATGAATTTTATTAATTTGTTTTGTAAACATTTTACAGCTTACTCCAGACATAGAAAGTATGCATACAAAATTACAAGCTCAGGAAAATTATTGGAAATCAAAAATAGAACATTTGGAGAATCAACATCAAAAAGATGTCGAGAGTCTTATCGCAGAATTAAAATTAACACAAAGTGCAGCTGATGATATGAAAGCCAAGTATGAAACAAAAGTTAACGATTTAGAACGCCAAACTGCGAATCAGTTGGATATCTTATTGGAACAAAGCAAACAATTACAATCTCTATCACAGGAAATAAATGTTTCACAATTGAATGAAAAAAATAAAGATTTTGAAAATAATTCACTGAGAAGACGTAGTCCACCTATAATATTAGACAAACTTAATGAAATTTTAAAAGCATCAGATGAAACTAATTCAAAACAAAATGGCACAAATACAAAAACTGAGCAAATTGCTGTTGGAAATAGTGTGATAGACACTACAATAAGTTCAAGTTTATCAAGTAAAGTGCTTCCATTAACAGTAGAAAATACTCATTTAAAGAAAGTTTCGAATTCCAGAAATAAATCCACTATTCATGAAAATAGGAGAAATATTAAGCAAAAAGATATAAGAAATAGAAATAATACAATATTTAATCCTGTGAAAACTATTGAAAAGGATTTAGAGTATTACAGTTCAAGTAATATTTCAGACACAGAAATTTCAGTGCCTGAAAAAGGAAATAATTATGAACACACAAAATATAATCGCGTAATTATAAAAAGTGACGAACTTGGCATAAGTAAGCCACAGGATATTTTTAATAAAAGCATATCTGATGAGTTTTTATCTAACAGTAAAAATACGAAAACATCAAAATCCTTAGAGGACAATGTATCATCATCAAATTCAGAATCATTTGTTTCTGACTCAAGCACAGAAAATGTTACTGCAATTCACAATAACTCCCCATTTCATGAACATAAAACACATTTACCTAAAAAAATAACAGGACATAGTTCATTTTATAAAAGATTACAAACTAGTTTAATGGAAACTTTTGAACAGAAATTAAGAGATTTAGGAGTAGATCCGGAATGGCAAGGAATACCAAAAGCAACATTCAAACAGAAAATGGACATTTTAAAGCATCATCACAAATTAACTGCAAAAGTAAGACAAATGCATATTAAATTTTTTATGTAATTTGTTATGTAAAAAATATTAACATCATTTTTTTTAATTTAACACAGAAGACTCCAAAATATCATCAGATTAAATTAAGGATAATTGAAGAAGTTCTTAATAAAATATCTAAGAAGAAAAAGGTTACTGAAAATGTGAAACAATTTAAAAACTCACCTCTACATAAACCAATAATCACTGTTAAATCAATGGTTGCAAAAGACCTTAATCATCAACATGATCCTGGTAATTACTATTATTCACATATGAATAAATTTCTCTGAAAAGAAATAACTCCAATAATTTTTTTTAGGGCAAGCAACAACATCAAATAAATTTCATTCTATACCAGAAGATAAGGATTTTGCTAGAAATATACTCGAAAATAAATCAGTGCCTACAAAAGCTACAAAAATTGCAAATTACGAAAGTATAGAAAAATTATTACAATTTTCTCCTAATTCAAAATCTTTGGAAAATATACAACATACAACAAATTCTCAAGAGATTTCAATAAGAAGAGATTCTTTCAACAAAATGAAATCTTTATTTACTCTTGAAACTCTTAAGATAATACCAAATGATAAAGATTTAGCTAATAACAAATCTATTGAAAACAGTAGTATAGATCATTCAAATGTGCAACAAGATTTACAAAGTATTTTCATATCTCCAAAACATAATAAAAGTGTTCTAAAATCTACAACTGGTTCAGCAAGTAGTTTGACAAAAAAAAAAGTTATTTTTGATTTAACTAATAATGAAAGTATAAAATCATCTTCCGATGATGTTACGGACAAAGAAGAGTTAAATGACAGTAATTGGAATTCTTCGATGTACGTAAATTATCTATGCTCAATGTAGGAAATAAATAATATAGTACTATAATAATTTTATAAATAATTTTAATTTTGCGTTTATGCAGTATGTTTGACAAGCAAAAACATTTGTGTCAATCAGAAGATTATAAAGGTTCAAACAATATTGTATTAAGGACTGCACAAAGTGATAAAATTGCGGAAATATCAAAAAAGCTTGAAGCACAGGTAAGAAAACCAGGTATTACAAAACTTGTTCTATTTAATGATATTAAACTATACTTAAACTATATTTTCTTTCAGCTAAATATGGTAAGACAAAAGCCTGTAGGATCAGTTGAAACAATATTTTCTTCAACATACATGCAAAATAAAGAGAATCAAATTAAGAGCAACGAACAAATAAATTCTACTAGTATAAATTCTCTTTTAGTAAATCCATTCCAAGCATCTGTAACAAATTCTAAAGAAATGAATGATTCGCTACCACAACCAGCACCGCGTAATTTAAGAGATAAAATGTCTAATACCTTAGATGCAGAATCTATATCAGAAATATCAGATTTAGATTCTGATATAGATCAAATTTTAAAATTAGAATAATTTTAAATTAAAATTTATATAATTAAATATATAAATATACTTTCTTTTTAGCAAAAAAAAGATATTTGAAAAATATGATATATGTAATAACTTTTTGTTTATTTATTATAATCTAATCTATTAGACCAGAAAGACAATCATTACATAATGTAGTTGATATTTTATGTACTTTGTACAGAATTTTTATTTATAAAATGAATAAAAACAGAAACATTTTCTGCATTAACAAATTTTATTGCAGTATTATAACACAGGCTAGTTCAGCTACATGGGATCACCCAGGTATCTGCCTTATTTATTGTTGTATGAAAACACTTTCCTGGATAAATTTACGGTATCTCAAGGACCATGTGCAATGGTGGAAATATTATTTATCAATGATCGTTGTTTCATGAGATTTCAAGTTCATTGCCACTTTTTTTAATGGAACCATGTATCTATTTTCCATTATCCTTGTACAGCATAAAAAAACAAATTAACCGAGGTTAATAAACATACCGTTTTCAACATTTAATCTTAAAATATTTGCGCTTGAAATGTATATACATATGGAATTAATTATTTCGAATTAACAGCAAAATGAATAAACTTCTTGATTCCTAGGCAGCATTTTTTAACTTACGAGAGTTCAAACGGATGTTTAGAACCTGTAGAATTAATTGAAATTAATTTTATTTAAATAATCTCGCTGGTTACTTAGTTTTAAACAGATTTAAAAAATTGTCCAGTTGGCGGGCTATTAAACACTACAATCATCTAGCGGTGAAAAAATCAAATCTGTAAAAGTATTTTGGACATGGTGATGCCACCTACCAGCGAAAATTTTTACTGCGATTAGTATCGCTAATTTTGCCTAGGAATCAAGAAATTTGGATTTTTTAATTTTACCACATGTCGATTAGTTTTACTTTTTCACCGCTAGATGTTTATAGTGTTTCATGTCCCACTATGGAATAATATGAAGAATTATATTTTGTAATTTATAATTTATGACTTGTAGTTGAAGAAACAAACATTAAATATATTTTATCAATTGTATGAGACACAGCACGATATCAAAATTATCCCGTACATAAAATTATTATCGATATGTTATGTCGCGGAGTATAGTAAAGGTTATATTTAAGATGCGCTGTCAAAGAATAATACACGATTATCGTACAAAATGGTCATATTTATATCTGTTATTTATTATAAAGTAACAACATATACTATTAAAAAAGAGTTAAGTAAAAGTAAGAGTTTAATAATCAATTAAACGTTTTGATCAACTTTTAATGGTAAAACAAAATGATGCCAATGTCTAATATATTTTGCTCAATATGCGATATGAAAATTGATCCTTCATCTTCTGTAAATATATTTTCTACATCTTTTCCTCATCAAGGAGAATTGTTAGTAAATTTTGTATCACAAGTACTTCGTATAGCTACTTTTGAATTACAAGACCCTTACATTTGTCTACAATGTTACAATTTGTTTCAAATGTTAGAACAAGCACAGAAAACTGTTTTAAACATACGTTGTGAGATTTTGAAAATATATCATGCTTGTGAAAGAAGAAAAAATGTTAAACGATCAATGTACGATGGTACAAAATTGAATATCAGTACAAACATAGCATTAGAAGCAAAAAAATTATATAATAGTAATGAGAACTTAAAGAAGGTATTGAATTTACAAAATGCTACTCAAGTAGAGGAAATAGAACAAGAACAATGTGTTCAAGATAATACAATACTGCAAAATATAAGTATTGCAAATACAAAAGCAAAGAAACACTTAAGAAAGGAAACAATCAATTATAATGAAGCAGATAGCACAAAATCATTTGATTATAATATTTATGATGACATAAAAGATGAAATTTTAAAAAATGATATATTTCACAATTCAGTGGCATTAACTAATAGTGGTAATACATGTAATATTAATTCACAAGGTAAAGAGAGATTATTTAAATCAATAAAAATAAATATAAAATTAATAACAGAAATATATAGAAATATTTGTTGATATTCGTTTGCAGGAAATACACATGCATTAAAAATTCATGTTGCAGAAAAAAGCTGTATTTCACTGACAGATCCTGAAAGTGAATCAAAAAATACTGTAAAAACAGAATCCACATTTTCTGACAATATATTACAAATACAAAATGTTGAAAATATTATAAAAATAACAGAAAATACTGTGAACACAACAGGTGATATTTTATTTATTATTCATAAGGTTCCTTTTTTAAAATTATCTATTTATTACTTATTGTTTAAATCTTTATAATACATATATAGTGTCAGCAGTTGACCCAATAAAAATACCTATAAAATCAATAAAGATACCAAAGTATGATTTAAAATCATTAAAATATTCTTGTCCTATTTGTGGTAAAGTATGGAAAACATCGACTGAATTAAAAACACACATGAAAACTCATTCAACATTAAGACCATACATGTGTGAAAAATGTGGTCAGGCATATAAACATAAACATGCATTGGAAATACATGTTGGAATGCATAATGGAATAAATCCATTTCAATGTAATTTTTGTAAAAAGTGCTTTACACAAAAAGGAGCACTTATGAGACATTTACCAATGCATACCGGTGAAATGCCCTATCAATGTGAACTGTGTGGTAAAAGATTCATACACCATACATCATACAATATGCACAGATTATCACATAGTGGTAAAAAATCTTATAAGTGTCAAGTAAGTAATTACTAGCATAGAAACATGATATACAAAACATTTAAGTATTTCTGTGTTTTAGATGTGTGATTTGTCTTTGCTTTCAACATCTCATTTGAAAAGGCATATGCGAGTTCATACAGGTGAAAAACCATATAGCTGTACAGTGTGTGGAAAACGTTTTGCAGAACGATATAATTTGCTTGCCCATCAAAAAATTCATGATCCACACGAAAATAAGGCAAAAAAAGTAAAAGAAACGCAATTCCAGTAAGTATATTTAAAAGCTTGTAATTCCTACATAATACTTATCCTAATAACTTCATTTTCAGATGTAATCATTGTAATTTGATATTTGAACAGAAAAAAAGCTTAAATGATCATATGAAGTATCATTCTAATGTGAATAGTGAATCTGATTTTAAACAATCACAATGTACACTTCTTCAAGTTGAACCAGAACATCATGAACTATCAAAAAAGGTAGATTCTGAACACAGTGTATTACAAGAAACTTGGATTCAAATGAATCGTTCTAAATTAGACATTATTGATAATCAAACAAGATTTGTACTTCTACAAAATTCTTTACCTCAGATTGACGAAAATTCCTTTGCAGTTACATTTAGTGACCAAAAAATATCCTTGGGAAGTACAAACTATAATACAAATTTACATGTAATCATAGAACCATCAGATATATCACTTTTAAGCAATAATCTTCCTTCTATTGATAAAATGCATATGTGATTGAGCATTAAAACAGAAACTTTAGATTTCTAACAAATAATTACTTTATTAGAATATACTTGAAAAACGCTTTAAACAAATTAATTATTTTTTATCATATACATGTGTAATTATTATCATATTTTTTAAACTTAACAGGATAATATATAAATCAACTCTGCATAAATAAGTAAAGCAATTATAAATATGTATTCTTATGTCAATTAAGAGTTCCTTGTATGAAAGTATTTCTAAAAAAATGTGTTCACTTTTTGTAATATATATATTACTATTTAAAAACAGACTGTTATCAATAAAATACATTGTACAAGATAATCATATAACCAGTAAAATGAAAACTTTAAAAAATGAATTATGAGTGGATTAACTAGTTTTATAACTGAACATTTATCTTGTACCTAATCCGCAACATCAGTTAAATCTTCTACTATTTGACTGGGCATCAAATCCTTCCATGAAGTAACACCATACATTCTCAACAAAGTTCTTCTTTGTAATATAGGCGTTGATAAAGATCTACAAATCAATAAATCCAAATGATATTACACATAGCAATTGATATAAAAAAAATTGGAACTTACTGTTTTATTTCATCAATAATGGGATCAACCATTGCCGGAATAGCAATCTTTGAAAAATGATTAAGTTCTGCTAAAAATTTAGGTTCTTGAAAAGAATAATTTGTGTATAATTCATAAATAAAATTAATTAATTTGTTAAATGCTTTAAAATAATCATCTGATAGTAGCTGAAAAATGATGATTATACAAAAGTTTTTCTAATGATAAATTATGAATTTGGCATTCTTAATTTACTTTTATCGAAGACATGTTACCACTAAGGAAAAAAATCCAGGCTTATTCACATGTTGATCTAGATACATTTTTCTTGACTTTAATATCAAGTCGGTATAGAAATCTTTCATATCTTCTGGTTTTTCCATTTCTGGCGACTTAAAATAAATTACAGATTTGTATCATTTTATACCTATATAATCTTATACATATATTAATTGAAAACAATGACACCCTGCCCGTCGAAAGAAAAGTAAATTATTCAATACAAACTCTTCTTGTTAATAGTTCTTCACTTGATTCACTAAGTTCATCTGTAAATAAAGGTACTATTCCTCGAATCAATGTATTACGACGCTGCAAAAGTTTTGCTTGATGTCTTTTACGCCTTAATTGTTCATCTTCCACTATAACATTTGAATGCTCATCTAAAATTACCTAAAAAGAAAAAATAAAATTACTTACAATTATTATGTGTTAGATAGAGGTATGCAAGAACCAGAAAATGTATGAAACCCGATAGTTGGAATGAAACAGAAACACATCGGATTGGGTCGAGTTCGCGAAAGTATCGGATTTCCTAAAAATATCCGGTATTCTCAAAAAATCACCTATATCAAGACCCGTTTTAATGAATAAGACCGTGTTCAAATTTTCTATTTTTTAGGCGTTTTCGGAAATCATATTATGAAATTTATTTATTTAGTTATTTTTACTTATTTAATTTATTAATATAAAATTATGAAATGTGGAAGATTGAGTGGAAATAGTGCACCAAATAAGTAATATCTAAATATAATATTTTATTTTGAAATCGCATGTAAAAATGTCAGTTTCTCCACAATTTCAAACAGTAGTCTTATCCTGTTCAGTGTAACAGTATTATTACACAATACTGCGAATTTAAAATAAAATATATTTAGATATTACTTATTTGGTGCACTATTTCTACTCAATCTTCCACATTTCATAATTTTATATTAATAAATTAAATAAGTAAAAATAACTAAATAAATATATTTCATAATGTGATTTTCGAAAACACCTAAAAAATCAAAAATTCGAAACCACGATCGTATTCATTAAAGCGAATTTTGAAACGGGCTCTTGGATTTTTCGAAAATTCCAAGCATTTTCGGAAATCCCAACACTTTCGGGAAACCCGGACGTTCTCGGGAAACTTGTCAATTTCGAGAATTCCGAAAATTTCAATAACCGGTCCCGGTATAAAAAAAAATGCCCATCCAGATCCTGCATACCTCTAGTGCTAGATAAACTCAATACTCGTAATCCTTTATCATCAAAATGTGAATTAGTGTCTTGTTCCTGAAATTTAATATAATTTGATGTTTTGTCTTTCATTTCTGTTGTACCCTGCACAGCTTCATCATCAAATATTGTTACATTCCCCAATGTATTATGAGTTGTTTTATCATCAGTCTCTGTTGCCAGTGGAATTTTGGGAAGCAATTTAAGATCTCTTATAATCTATAAGCAAGTTTAAAATAATATTTGTAGCACTATGAATGGTATAATAAAGATATGAAATTGTTCATACATCATTTAAAATTTCTTTAATAAAATTTATATCACTTCCTATGGGTATTGCTGAACTTTCTTCAGATAATAAATTTTCTTTACTATCTTTAGTACATGTATAAACATAAAACCTTTCTTGTATCCATTCACGGTGGATTTCTTCATTTTTTGGGAGCACAAGAACTGCTCTACTATTGGAATACCGGTTAAGCATTTGAATGGTTGCATGTAAATCCGTTTGTGTTATACCAATTTTATTTCTTAATTTTAAGGAAGTAATTTGATTGTGATCTATATAAATATAAATAAAAGCATCTTGGAAGATATTTTTATAAAAAATTTAATTTATCTAACTAACGAAATCCATAGCTGTATCCTAATCTCTCTTGAATTGCTAAAAATTCTCCATGACGAGACATATCATTAAATTCTTCTCTGTCTACAAAAATGTAAAATTGATTTTCACTTTCATCTTCTGAGCTTTTTGTTGTATACCACTGACAATATTGGACCTGTGATAAATTATTATTTTAATCCGACATATTAAAAATGAATTAGAATATTACTTTTTTTGATAATGTTTGGGTCGCATGAAGAGCCAAAGATAATTTTCTCACTGCACTTGGACCTGTGAGTATTATTATAGGTGGGCTCACTTCATCATATGGTGTTACATGAAGATCAATTTTAGGAATATTTAATTGCTCTAATAAAGTTAGCTTTGTTATAGTGCGAGCAGCTGTTAAATTTACTGGTGGTGCAAATAGAGCAACTGCAGCAATCTATTTAAATAAATTCTTTAATAATTTATATAAGTTGATAATTATCAATACTTGATTATATACCTTTTCTGAAGTAGATACATTAACACCATCAATAATCTGTATACTTGGTATGGAAAATAGAAGTACAGCTTTATAATTAGGCCACTTTGTGCAACTATTACCTCTAAAATCTACTTCTTGTATTAAACCAGTGAGATTTAATAATTCTAATAAATCATTGATTCTATTAAACTTTAAATCTATCACACGTAAACTATATGCATCCTATAATTTTAAACATATTGTTACAGTTTAAATATTCATCTAATTATTAAATATGGAATTATTACCTTAAAAAATTCTAAAGTAGACAATTTATTGTATCCTAAATATAATTTCCGCAAATCAGATAAAGTACTTATGCCATATCCAGGAATGGCGGATTTATATGACAGTATACAGTTGCCCTCTAAATTTAGTTCTTGAATATTTAATCTATCCAAATTTTCAATGTACTCAATTAAGTTATATGATAAATTTAAATATTTCAAATATCTAAAAATAAAATACGTAATGTATAAATGAAGTCATATTTTATTTAATTACATGAAAAAGCATGCTAACTTCAAATTTTGCAAACCAGTAATGGTTTCAATTGCATTATGTGACAAATCCAAGTGAACAATACTCCAGAAATCACTGATATCATACATTTTTGATATATAATTGTATGATAAATTTACATATGTCAAATACCAAGGAGGTGAAAAATTTAGAATAGTATTCATTCTGTTATGTGCTACATTTAAATACATTAAGTAGGGGACTCCTCCCAGGGGTGATAAATTTGTAATATAATTATATGCAAGATCAATATATTGTAAATAACGGTGGTAACTTAACATTGTAATATTTGATAGTGACTGCAAAAAGGTTGTTTTCATCATATTTGTTTTATAAAATATTATGTTTTTCATATATAATAATATACCATATTTCTCATAATACATTTGCTTAATATATAAAGACTATTTTCAGGAGATTTAGTCAAAAATGATTTTCCAACTCCTATTAGTCTGTCAGTAAGATATCCACAGAATTCTATATCATCAAATGATGTTTCTTTAAGATTTCTTAATTTCATAACTGGTGCTCTACCATCATCCCATAAACTGATATCTAGAGCATAACTACTCCAGTTGTTTTCAGTTGCACATTGTATTATTTTTTGATCTATTGAAAGTGATATTTGATCAAGCAATGAAAATGAAAGATTCGACTGTGAAAACGAATAAATTATAATTATTTCAATTATATTATAAAATAAAATTAGTTTTATATTAAGCAAAATTTACATTGGATGAAGACTTTGAAGTAGTTGATATAGAATCATTAGATGCAATTTCAAATAACATATATCTATCCTCCATAGTTTCCCAACTCATATCACTATGTGATAGCAAATCTGTATCATCATTTTCAATAACTATATCATCCTTCTGCAAAGGTGCCTTTGGTACAGAAATCCTACCAATTGCATTTTGAGAAAGTAGTGGTTCAGAGGTAGAGAACAAATAAGAAAACTGTAATTATAAGCATAGAAATTAATTTTTGTATGAATGATATCAATTTTAATTTTATAAAACTAATCAATTTGAGCAGAAATATAATTTTACTCTTTTTTCATCCATTATTCTGCTTGAAACATTAATTATTTATCTTTGTGATAAATTATTTTCATATAAACCACTAATATACAATTTTCTATTGTTTCTTAACAACTGAATATACACAGGGCTACCAAATTATGTAAAGAAACCGCAATTTGTTATAAAGTTTGTTCATAACAATGTTATTTATATAACAATAATACCCCTATACAAGGAATTAACTTCCCAACGAAAAGGAATTTTGAATGGTCTGGACTTTAGACAGAGCTGCAAATAGCATAATTCCTTTCAAATTCCTAAGGTCCTTGCGCTAGCACGTAACATTGTGCACGCATCATCCAATCAGCAGAGCCGAATTAAAATTTTCCTTCTTCATAGAAATATAGGGCAAGAAGTTAAAATGAAATAAAATTACCTAAATATGAAATAAGATTTATTTTATAATAAATTATACCTAAATTTTTTAGTATGCATTTTTAAAATACAATCTTTTTTTATTTTTTTTAAGATAATTCACTTGCTATACTCATAAAGTAAAATGTATTTTTCTTGAATAATTATTAAATTTCTAATGTAAATTAATTTCCCATAAAATTTTCAATTCTTTATTATTCACCTCTTCAAATAGCAACGATATTGACAAAGGTGCAACAAAATATTCAAAGTGTCATATTCAAATTTAGTCGTTTCCTTAGTTATGTTCATAAAAATATAAAAATGTATAAAAATCCGCAGTGTATTAATAAGAAAATCATCGGTAGCAACCGACCCATTCGGAATTTTCGCGGTGCGAAAGAAGCGACATCTTCCGGTACGATTTGGCAATTACTTCCTGTGAGTGACCATTTATGTTCATTCGCGATCCGTGCGTCGTGTGGTATTGTTGCGTGTGGTCTGTGGTGACGTTACGGTGATAGTATTCGGGTGATTTATTTGCGGTCCTCGTGTATTTTTCGCGTTTGAAAGAATAACAAAGACAAAAACAGAACGAACGAAATATGTCTGAGATTGATGCGAAAGTGAACATGTCGCTTGGTAAGTGGCCAGAGTCTCGAAAATCTAGCAGTTTTGCTGATAGTCCTGGGTGAGCGTACGGCAACTGTTTCTTCCTTTGCACGAATTCAAAATGGCGATGAAAATTATACAACGTAGATATATATCCACATTTATTTTCGTTCATTTAACATCCAAAATGGTAAATAGATCTCTAAGAAAATAAAACAAAGAAACGTATCTGTGTCAGACGATGAATCAACTTTTGATACAGGATCGTTTCGTCTCCCTAATTAATTATTAAGCAAAAAAAAGGCAGACATATTTTAATCGATGTTTACTTATGAGAGGATGTATGGTGTCTTTTCTAATCGCTGGAAGAAAAATGTCTCCGCTATTTATACCGATGATCGAATAACCAAGTGTATATGAATTCCGGACTTTTTCAAAAGAACCAATTCAATTTCAACGAAATAGAAACGAAATAGATAACAGGCTTCTACTAACGACAGTGGTAGTAAAGAAGAAGAAAGATATATCCGCCATGAAGAATTTATACATTCTGAGAAAAATACTATGATTTACGTAGGATTGGCGGTGAGGGGATTTCTTACAATTTTTGACCAGTTACTCGAGAAATTTGTCGAATGGAAAATTTACGTACCTGAACATTTTTGGATAATAACACAACCGAAGTTATGATTCATGATTTACGGAAAAGAAGTCAACTTTCTCATTACGTGGGATATACGTTTGCATAACTTTAGTCGTATTTTTATCTCTTCTATATCATATTTCTCGAGTTTCTCTTTGTTCATCTGATGAACTTGAGAGATGCTACATACTATACGTGAGATAAAAACACGCTGAAAATTTTCAAATCGATTTTATTTTTGAACGCATCACGCGTTCTATGAAAGTATATGGAATGTCTGCGACAAATAATAATCGCCGTTGAATTCGAGAATTTAACTAAATTCTAAATGAAAATGGTATTTATGTATGTTACAAGTGTGCAATCCAGAATAATTTAAGTTTAAGATTAAATATGTTCGCAATTTGTCAATTAAAAACATGCATTGTATATAAATGAATACTTCATGATATGTCAAATGTTATTTAGAATTAACAGAAGCATTTTTATTAAACAAATTATTAAAGATAAGAAGCCCGACAGAGTGCGATCGTTTAAACAACCAAGATATATAAAACTGCAAGAAGAAGCATCTATGTGATTAAATGTTATATCTAAATCAGTTATTAAATGACTTATTAGATAACTGGATTTTATTAATTTGATGTAAGACTCGAAGGCATCTACTTCAACAAATGAGAGAAATTTTTATGTAATCTACAAACTTTTGTCTACAAGCAACACATCAATGGAGGCAATATAATATTGGTTTATGATGCTTATGTAGTGGAAAATTTTGTGGATAACATACTAATTGCATAAGAGAAGCCAACTGGAAAAACTTTACCTTCAACTGAAAGTAGATATCTATCAGAAATAATGCCACTATGTTATTGTAAAACATCAATAATGGATCTATTCAATTATAATTTTGTTCAAATATAATTGATATAATAACCAATATTAATAGCAATATAGATAGTCTGTTTCCTTTGTCAATGAACAATGAATGACATGTTTTTGTTAAATTGAGATTGAAATGGAAGAACAGACTAAAACAGACAATATAATATAAAAATTATATTTTGAAGATATGCGTTGAATCAAGAGAAAAACTGAAATATGATAAACATGCAGATATAGAAAGTGTGAAGAATTACAAAAGTATGAAGAATCTTCAGTATGCAAGAAAGTACACATGACATTTATGCATCAGTATATAAATAATTGAAACACTCACGGAAGATCACAATGAAAATAACACAGAGAGAAAGGACATTTATTAAGTACAGAAATAAAATAAAATAAACAATTTAATATGCACGAAAATTTAGTTTTAGTTAAAAATATCTTAAAGAAAAGAAAATAAAGAATATAATACATGTGGAAATTTATTATTATTAATTAAATTAGCCAATAATACCTTTTATGTAGCAACAAATACTTCCTTTTCATAAGATGGAATCTTTTGTTACAAATATAATTCTAAAGTAATGCATTATGAAAGAAAAATATATGAAAATAATCTGATTAAACTTATTCCTATATATATATTATTTATTTATTTATTTATTTATTTACTTATTTATTTATTTTATACAAAACAATGGTATTTTAAAGTGTCCTTGTCATCTGCAGAAGTACAGTGTTTCACTGCATCTGTTATTTTTTATTTAATATAGAATATGTGATTTTTATTGTTATTTTTTATTTGATATAATTTAAGGAATTAGTAACACATTTTAAACTTAAAGGCTGATCTATAAACACAGAAATTCCAAGTTATATTCTACTTAAGTTTCATTGTAATTAATTGATAGATGTATGTGTATACATAGACCATACACAGTGAGATTATTTTGAAAGTATATACACATATTGGAAGAAAATCAGGGAAACAATTCACAAAAATAAATATCGAAAAAGATCGATATACTTAAAAGAATTAAATAGAAACTGAATTAGCCATATTGAGTTGTCCTTCAACATCATCCATACAAGAGGAAATTTTTCACATATTCCAGATTAAAGCTTAACACAAATTAACTTCATGCACTGATAAGACTGTACGCTCACTAAACCTTGTGAATTTTCTTCCTTTTAAGATGAAATCATAAAGATGGAGAAAAAGGAGAAAAAGAAAAAGGCCGGGGCTACTAATGGAAAAACTGGTGCTAAACGCACTCGAGGAAGTGTGCGAGGGCGAAGTGGACTCAGAGGTAGAGGTACCAGAGTAAAGCGTAATGTTGGAACTGCTAAAAAAGAGCAAACATGGCAAGCTGGGCAAAATAACAATAATAACAACAATAATAATAATGTGCGTGGTGGTTTTGTGAGAAAACGATATAAGAAAAACAGTGGTTTAACTAGATCACGAAGTAATTTAACATTAAATCAGAAACCTAATACACGAGGAGCTTTTAATGTTCGCCGTGGTCGTGGTAATAGATTTGGTCTGACTCGAAGTAGAAGTCGCACAAACTTGACTTTTACACAAGGAGGCTTTTTTACAAATAATAAGACTCCATTAAAACGAACGAACAGTTTACCAAATTTACGTGATCCAACTTCGGTTCATAATCGACTGGGATATCAAAGCCCTGCTCAAATTGCTTACCGAAATCGTGTTAAAAGAGCAAAACAATTGCTGCTACAAAGACAGAACCAGAGATTATCCTTACAAAACCAATTCAGAGTAAGTTAATATTGTAGATAATAAATCATAAACGTAATTAATTTGACATTAATTTAATTATGTTCTTCTCTTGTAGATTCCACAAGCTGGGAAATCATTATTATCACTCCAACAAAGATCCACAGATAGAAGACAACAAATTTTAACTTCTCAACGTCGCTTTACTACTGGTGGATTACGATCAGATCAAATTGCCCGTGCACAAAGACGTGCACAATATGAACAAAAATTAATGAGAATGAAGTATGCTTAAATGTCTTCACATTTATTGTTTTAAGTAGCTTACAATTAAGTTCATATAATTTGAAATACTTTTTAGTAAATTATTTTTTATTTTCAATTACAAAATCTTATACTTTATATTGGGATTTTATTGAAATTATACAATGTTGTAGTTCCTCGCGATTAAATACAAACTCAAATGTAAACTTCATGTATACATTGGGAAATGAGTACAGTCCTAGCACGCATCAACGCCCTCTTACTCTTACCCCAAGCAGAAACGGAAGTGCTGTGAACAGTTTGCGCCCATTACCAAGAGGAAGGTCTCCATTTAGACAAAGTGTACAAAATTTGAATATGGTATGATAATAAAAATGATTAATAAGATATTACTGGTAGTTATAATTTAAAAAAAATCAAGTTTTGTGTAATTTATATAATTTAATATGGTGGAATTTATAAATTTCAGGTTGGTCGATCACCTATGTTTAGTCGACAACGTTCAAGGTCAAGATCGCGTTCCCGTTCTCGTACACGCAACACTCCTTCATCAGACGCAAGACCAGATGTCGATGATCGTACTTTCAGCGAAGTCATGTATAGCTTGTCCGGAAATCTCGGCGTTACAGGAAGAACGCTTAATGATAGATTTAGTTTTTAAATTGAAGAAGGAAAGTTTGTTTTGTATTTAGAATATAAGACTGTTGAGGCCAGAAATTTTATGCTTGAAATAGATACTAGGTATAATGTTTTCTTATCAATTGCATTAATATTAAAGTTACATCAAGTAGAAATCAATTTATTTAACTCGAATGTTCCCCATTTTTTCGTTTGTATATTAAAACTATATGAAAATTATTTTGAAGTTTTAAAGCATAAAACATTTAAGTTTGAAATATATTCCAAAATATTAACTACATAATTCATGATAAAATGAATTCATAATAAATTCGATGTCTAATATTACCTCATCATTAACTCATTATTAACTCATATTTGAGTTTAAAAGTTCAATATAAATTGATTTGCATATGAAGATGAAATTTATAGTAAATTTTTGTATGAAAAGATAATTTGCAATATTTTTAATATTATATTATATATATATATATATTTAATATTAAAAATAGATTTTAACTTTTTATTAGTACAAAGATATTTCATTCTTTGTTACTTTATAAATATTTTAGTAACATTTTTATTTCGTTTTTATGTATATATTCCTATGCTGTAATAATAATTCGGCAGATTTATTTTTTTATCACACTTAATATATTTTATTGAAAAATGTGGCCTCAATTACGCGAGTTTAGTACATCTAGAGACAAAGTATAATATTATTAAAAAGAATGAACGCTATAACCATATTCGAATTATAAAAATTGTAGAAATTTTATTAGGGATGTTTAATTAGTTCTCAAAATAAGTATAAGTCTGAGTCGTGGAATAAGTTTTTAATATAGGTACAAGGATTATTCACATTTCGAGTATACTGAACATGATATATCAATGAAATATAAATATAATGTAGAATGAATTTCTTTTCTTTATTATACGTATTTAATAGTTGTTATATAAGTGCTTATAAGGAAATCATAATCAGAGTATATATAGTATATACATAGAAATACAATATAAATTGAACTTTTTTATTTTACTTTATTAACATAATTTAATATATATATCTTCTATCTATACACATATAAAAAGTAGGATTTTTATTACACTATGAAAGCTATATTTAATCAAACATAATTTTATAGTTTATTGAAATTTACCATCCAACTACAGCGACGTGGTTTAGAATATAAATGCAATAATTTTTATAAGAGTTAAAGAATTTATTACTGAAATACTTTTCGATTGTAAAAATATTGCTTTATAATGTAGTATTATAATTATAAATACAGTGTCTCTCAGAATTCAACATTCATCGCCTACTCGATTTAACTGAATTTGTCACATTTTTTATATAAGTTTACAAATTCAAGGTATAATACTTTTACAAGAAAAACATCCTATAACGTTCTGTACATTTACAATAATTGTTTCACAATCACCCTCTTGGAAAGCCAAACAATTTTCAATGTGAATGTGTTAGAAAAACTCATTTTGTATAGCAATAAAATTGTTTAAAATTATTTGCCGGCAATATGTCCATTAGACTCTCGTCTTTTACATCATTTTGTGTTAGAAAAATAGGAAGACAGGTAACAGTATTTATTTTAAGTAGTCACATACAACAAATGCAAATATATCAAAGAAAATATTTTCAGTTTTTAAATCGTACTTCTGTCACTGTTCAACAAACTCGACATTTACAAGTTCATGAACATATCGCATATACTTTATTGAAAAATAGTGGAATTCCAACTCCACCTTTTGGAGTAGCCAAAACTCCAGACGAGGCTGCCAAGATAGCAGCTGATCTTAAGACAAAAGATATTGTTCTGAAAGCTCAAGTTCTTGCTGGTGGACGTGGAATGGGGCACTTTAAAGATACCAACGTCAGCGGTGTAGTTATGTGTGAAACGTGAGTTTAATCAATTAAATCAACTCTATTATAATGTTATTATATTTATGATACACTGTATTTGACATATATTTTTAGGCCTGAACAAGCAAAGACTTTGACTAATAATATGATAGGTAAATTGTTAATAACTAAACAAACTGGAGAAGCTGGTAGAATTTGTAATTCAGTAATGGTAACAACACGTATGTTCCCACGTAAAGAATATTATATGGCAGTAATGTTGGAACAATCTTTTGATGTAAATTGCAACGTTTCATTATAACTAGACTGTGGATCTTTGTACAAATTCATATTTTTATTGGTACAGATAAAGAGTTTTAACTTGAAAGAAGGTTTTATTTTCTGAATGTCATAACATTTGTTTTCCTTTTGATAATTTATGTAATTTTGTGTTTGTGCACATTCTTGTATAGCTTTATATAAATGCATAAATATCTGCAGTCTAATTGTAACTATCATTGAATTTATTATTAAAAGTAAAAATTAAATATGATTTACAGGGTCCTGTTGTAATTGTATCTAAACAGGGCGGTGTAAATATCGAAGACATCGCTGCCACGAATCCGGAAGCTATATCGTATACACCAGTGAATATCATGAAAGGTTTATCACTTGAACAAATAAATCAAGTTGTGGATAACTTAGGTATAGAAGGAGAGGAGAGGAAGATTACATCGTTAATTATTTGTAATCTCTACGAGTTGTTCATCGAGAAAGATGCATTATTACTTGAAATTAATCCATTTGCATTAGATATTTGCGGAGAATGTATGTTGTAAAAAAGAATTCAATGAATTCATTTTATTAAATTAAAGATAGTTAATAACATAAGTATTACGTATTTTCAGATTTTGCCTTAGATTGTAAATGTTCTTTTGACGACAGTTCAGAGTTCAGACAAAAGGAACTATTTGCACTGCAAGATTTCACACAACTAGATCCTAACGAAGTCCAAGCATCTAAGTTTAATTTAAGCTATATAGCTTTAGATGGAAATATAGGGTGTATGGTAAATGGTGCTGGATTAGCGATGGCTACTATGGATTTAATAAAATACAATGGCGGTATGCCAGCTAATTTTTTAGATGTGGGTGGTAGTGCCACTGAAGAAGCTGTGATGGAAGCTTTTAAAATAATAATTTCTGATCCGAAGGTACTTAAAATTTAAAACAAGTAATATTCGAATTATATCTTTTGCCAGTAAGTTTGAAAATACGTAATGTAAGGTTTAAAACCATTTTACCAATTTTTAGGTAGAAGCAATTTTCGTAAATATATTTGGTGGTATTATGAGGTGTGATATAATCGCAAAAGGTATTATCAATGCGTCCAAAGAGTTACAGTTGAATATTCCCGTAGTTGTAAGACTGCAGGTAATTTATCACTAATACATGAGGAAAAATTATACACAATTTTCTTATACTAGTCTAATCTAATCATATAGGGAACTAACGTAGAAGAAGCTCATCGATTGATACGGGAAGCACAATTGAAAGTTATTTCCGTAGATGATTTTGCCCAAGCTGCTGAATCGGTTGTAAAATTATCTTTAATAATAAAAGCTGCAAATTCTATGAACTTGGACATTTCTTTCACATCCAAAGAAACATCGGCAGAAAAGTCTAAAGTCGGAAGCAAGAAGAAGTAAAAGTGAAATAAATTTTTATATTTTTAGACACAATTTGAAAGATATATTACATACATATATATAATTATTATGTTCGTTTTATTTTATATTTATTATTTTATATCTGACAACAAAAGTTGGATATTATAAAATATTAGATGTCTTTCCTTTTTGACCTTTTTTATATTATATAAATTTATGTGGATGTAAATATGTTTGTAAAGAATAAATATTTTTTTCGAAATTTATAATATAATAATTTATTCTAGTTTCGAATATAATATATTATTTTGTATCATAATTTCTAAGAATTGTAATCATGAAATTGTTACTGCCAGTACTAAAAATGATTTACTTTTCTTTATATTTATATAGATTTAGGTATTTTATAATTATATGAATGAATAACAAAGAATGCTTAATTTTGACTCAAGACTACTGAAAGATAAAATAGAATAATACTAGTGTTTAAATGGCGACAATAGAATTAAATTAACTATACAAAACAAACTAAATATATTTTTTTCACATATAAATATAATAACTTTTACAAAACTTGTACAATGAACTTATTATTGAAATGTTATATCTATAATTAAAATGTTCCAAAATTGGAATACAGTAGTAGAGAGAAATCGAATGAGTAATTAAATCAGAAAAAATTCAAATAAATATAAAGAAGTGCTGCCATCGCGGCATCACCGTGGAGTTTGCGTCATGTTTTTACAGGAAACATCAAGGAAGGTGGGGACATGAAGGCGTAGACAGCGCAGCTTACATTTGGCACTTTTGGCAGTCCACTGCCACTGCTTTAGTAAGATGGCCACCATGTTGTCTCGGACTATCTCAATCGTTGAAAATTTTACCCGATTCAATGGGTCAAAGGTACATTAAATATTCTATTTTTCGTGTCGTACTATATTATTTGTTTACGATAATTCCTATTCATTTATGTCATTTTATTCCATTTTCACGAATCCATCGATATTTACGCCAATAATTCATAAGTGGTATAATCACCATATTAGATATCTGTAGTCTGCTAAATTGAGCGCCAGGGTCAAGCGATTCGAAGCCAAAGATTGTGGCCTTGCACTAAACCAAGTTTTTTTTACGAAATATGAATATGACAGTTGTGCAATATGAGCGTGGACATTTTCACAATCAACCTTTGATTCGTTGGTCATTGACTCTGTTCTGTACATTCGTATTTAATTAATATTTATTCAATTACGTGAAAAATGACACTACTTGTCAAATTACCAAGAACTGTCATTCTTTTTGAAAATTTGAAATTCGAATAATCGATTGTCATCACTATTGATTACTTCGTTTTGTTACGAAGTTACTCTTTTTTTTTTTTTTAAAAAGCGTTTTGGCATTTTTTTTATCATCTTCAGTATTCAATTTTATATCATTTGTTTTCAATAACTATACCCACTGTTTGTTATTTTCTCTTGTTTTGATTAGTTAGAGTATTTCTTTACCAAAGACAAAATAAAGTACAAGTGCCAAGTATGCGATTAGAAGTATGTGGGTCATTACCATTGATTGATCTTTGTACTTCTTTGCTCTTCTTCTTTATGTTCTTCTGTATTAAACAATTAATGTCTATTATTATCATATATGTTACACAAGCTTTATTTATTGTTATTGATCCATTTTTGCTATTTCATTTATATAGATACTGGGATGCAAAACCAACTTAGTAAAGCAATCAGTCAGGAATTTGAATGTTCATGAACACATCAGTTACAGTTTATTAAATGAAGCTGGAGTTCCAACTCCTAAATTTGGAGTTGCTAAAACTGCAGATGAAGCTGCCAAACTTGCTGCTGATTTGAAGACCAAAGATATTGTTTTGAAGGCACAAGTCTTAGCTGGTGGCAGAGGAAAGGGACATTTTAAAGGAACTAGCATTAGTGGTGTAAAGATGTGTGAAACGTAAGTTATTATGCCCAGGTGATGATAGATATGTATGCTTTGCATTACATTAATTTTTCTTTTTTTTTTTTTATAGACCAGAAGAAGCAAAAAAATTAGCCAGTCAAATGTTAGGTAAATTGTTAATTACTAAACAGACAGGTGAAGCAGGTAGGATATGCAATGCAGTGATGGTTACACAACGTATGTTTCCTCGTAAAGAATACTATCTTGCAGTTATGATGGAAAGAGCCTTTGGTGTAAGTTGCTAAATAAATGTAATTTCAATGAATGGAAGAGCAGCTTATATAATTAAAAAATTTTTTATTTGAGGGTCCAGTCATAATAGCTTCAAGTCAAGGTGGTGTAAATATTGAGGAGGTTGCTGCAACAAATCCTAGTGCTATCATGTATGAGCCCATTGATATACATAAGGGTATTACGAAAGAGCAAGCAGATCGAATTGTTGTTAAACTTGGACTTCAGAATGTTAAAGATTATATTTCTAACATCATCATGAACCTGTATAAGATGTTTCTTAAGAAAGATGCTCTTTTATTAGAAGTGAATCCTTTAGCAGAAGATGTTAATGGAGAATGTAAGTTCAATCTTAAAAATTTATAATTCACTATACATTATAAAGAGTAACATTTAAAAATTGCATTCTTTAATATACAGATTTTGCTTTGGACTGCAAGTGCAGATTTGATGATAATGCTGAATTTAGGCAAAAAGAACTATTTTCCTTAAGAGATTGGAGTCAAGAAGATACTAAAGAAGTTGAAGCTGCTAAATATGATTTAAATTACATTGCACTTGATGGTAACATTGGTTGTATGGTAAATGGAGCTGGTTTAGCTATGGCTACTATGGACATCATAAAATTGCATGGAGGTGAACCAGCTAATTTCTTAGATGTAGGCGGTGGTGCGTCTACATCTGCTGTGAAAGAAGCATTTAAAATAATTACATCAGATTCACGAGTGGGTTCACATAACATAGATTCTATTATTTCTAATATTGATAAGATTGATAAATATTCTTTTTTTATATCAATTATAGGTCCACGCTCTTTTGGTTAACATATTTGGTGGAATAATGAGATGTGATGTTATCGCAGAGGGAATTATTGCTGCAACTAAAGAACTTAGCTTAAAAATTCCTGTTGTTGTTCGATTACAGGTATAATTCTAAATACATATTATTACTTTATTGAAGTAATTGACATAAATTTAATTTTATATGATTTTGTTGCCATTTCAGGGTACAAATGTAGACGAAGCAAAAGCTCTTATTGCAAATGCAGGTTTAAAAATTGTACCAATAGATGATCTTGATGAAGCTGCCCGAGTTGCGGTTAAATTATCAACGATTGTTAAATTAGCACAATCTGAAAATCTTAGCGTTAATTTTGAAATACCTTCGATTTCATAAATATAGTAAAAATTGTTATTTGCATATTATCAGAAGAACTTCGAGGGTATATTCATATTGCTAAATGTTTGGAACAACATTTGAAAGTAATAACTAGATTAATAATTTCGAATGTCACATCTGTGTTGTCTTTAGAATTACATTTGAGTACTTCACATATGTTTTTATTATAAGTGGAATGGAAAGAAAGTTCATTGAAGCTTTTGTTTTGCTCGATGTTTGAAACATTTATATTCTTTTTAAAAAGAGATGAATGTGATCGTAATTTTTAATTACGGATTTGTACATTTGAGAAAAAAAACTAAACCTGTATTTAATTACGTTCTTCTACATCTAAAATATTGCAAAAAATACTAGACAATTGAATTACTTCCTTCTCAATGCAAGCACAAATTCGTTCCCAAGAAGTACGCAGACTTCTTCAAGAATGTAATTTATTGCTTACCCAATTAACGGGGGTTTCTGTGATTCAGTATTAAAATTAAGTTATACAATATACACTTACTGACATAGCTATATCTTTTGCACGAAAGTGTACTCGATATTCTTTCACAACTTACATATATGTTAACAAAAAGTACATGACTACTGCTGTCCAAAAAAAGGAAACCTTTTATATAATCATCCACAAAAAATTGTTATAATTGAGATTTTACGCGAGATATGATTGTCATATCTCATTTGAAAAGAAAAAAGGGCCTGTTTAATGTAACATAGACATATGTAGTTATATGTATACATATATAAATTATTTTACGTAATTTTGATTTGTTTTTATTTTATTAATGAGTCGAAAATAAGATGATGCTCACGTTTCTTGCTTCCCTGAAACATAATATCATTGCGAAATAATCAGATTACAACGTATCAGTATTATGACATGATATGATGATGATATAGTAATGAAATAATTATGATATAGTATTGTTGCATCTATGTTTACATATATATGTATATAAATATATATATATATATATATATATATATTACAAAATATATCTCATCGTTAAATAAATTATATTATTATTTAATTTATTGGAAGAAATTTGTACAAAAAAGAAAGTTATCGATTAGTAAATGTAATATTATTTTAAATATAACATAAAAATATTTCAAATAAAATTTATCATGTTCCTTCAAATGTGAAATCTTTTAAAAGTATTTTTGCTTAAATGCAACTATTATGATTGGTAATAATTATTTTCTTCAATAAAAATATGCTATTATTATAAGACGACTGTTCTCCTCATTTATCTACAAATTTAATTTAAAGTATTTGAAAAGAAATATCAGAGGAAATATGTAGTAACATTCGTAGTTTGTTTTTAATTTAGGATCTTTTGAAGTTGGCCTTCCTGTTTGATGCTCAACTTATTTGCGATTGGTAGTAACAAGTAATAAGGGACAGGGGTTATTCATTTTGAATATCGTGTAATGTATTATAACGAAATCTTCTAAAGTCACTTATTTTCTTATATTTTTCAATTTGTATCCTTAATATTTACAAAATGGTGAGAACAAAGGCGGATCGCGTCCCTACAAGAGGTAAAACAAATTGTTAAAAATTCACCTTTTTTCAGTAAATTATTTAAAAAATTTCTTTCGTTCCTTTGTTATTTCATTTCAGTTGGTTTTGATTGTTAATTTAAACTTGTATTATTATGTTTGATAAATATTTTGTAGTTTTATTCAAGTTATATTATTATTTTTAATTGTTAGAGTACCAGAAGATAATTAATTTTACGAAAGTTTCATTAATATTTATTATTTGTAGCTGTTGGTAGCAAAGCACCACATAAAACTACGAAAAGTACACCAGTTAAGAAATCAGGTAGCAGTAGCAAAGGTAAGATTTATAATTTTATTAAATTAAAGGTATAGTTTCAAAATTTAAAACAATCGTAATTTTAGGAAAGAGTTATTCAGGTGGTAATCCGTATCATCCAAGGGAAACTCCAGAATGGCAGAAGCCTATTACATGTTTTCTCAACCAAGGTTCTGTGAATCAATCTGAAGATTTGTCAAAAGCTCAGGTATATAATGATGGTATTACCAATAAATATATTTAGATAATAAAACACATTATTTTAAATAATAGGGAGCTGCTGGTGGAGGTCCTAGCCAAGTAGTAGAAAATAAGTCGGACTAAAGATGTGCAACATTGTTGTTAAATTGTTATGGTATTATCATAGTGTTATTTGTCAGTACAAAAGGTTATTTATTTCTTTAAACCAGTTTGGGTATAAGTATTTTATATTTTATTACAATGAACAGCAAAGAATTTTTAATTTAAACTAACATGAGACAAGTAAAAAGATAAGAATGAGCAACACAAGCATCTAAATACTGAAAGTAGAATTAAATTAAGTAAATTAAATACAAAGCAGACTAAATATATTTTTTTACTCAACATATGAAATGTGATCAATATCATAAGTATAGTATTTATAATTTAAAAGATAATATTGTAGTATGTCTAAATAAAATTATCATAAATGAAGGATCATTTATTTTATAACCTAATAGGATTAACCTTTTTTATTTAACTCTTTAGATCGCAGATACAATTATCGTCATTCGAACTTGTAAAAGAATATCAAAGTGTAAAAAACCATTTAAGCGAAGTAAAACGCGTCAGAGAGAAATGAACCAATCGTGAAGCTATATTGCGATGTTTCTTTTCAGCGGTTATTGTTTGATAGAGTTTAGGAACGCAATTTCCTATCAAAATTTTGGCAGTCCAAGTTGCGGTAAAGTTTCGCAGTATTGAAATGCTGCCGACAGTGAAATTTCATTAAAATACAGTTTCTAACGCGATTTTCTATCGAATAAACGTAACCAAGTTCAGTGTCGTCTGCTTCGACGGAACTTCGTAATTTTTTTTTCTTTTCGTTTTATTATAACGTGAAATATTGGAACGACAACTGTAACCGGCTGTAAAAAAGTTTTCAATCATGGCTAGTGTTTCCTATCAAATTGCAAACCTGCTAGAAAAGGTATTTGACATATTTTTTGAAATATATGCTGAAAATCCTATCGTTTTTTATTCTGAGATAAAATTGATGAGGATGTTAACACTTGATCCGGTGATGATATTGAAGTTCTACATAACCTCGCTTTATTGTTTAAAAAAATATGCAATTATTCTTATAAGCAATGATTTTTTAATTTTCAGTACGAATAACGATATTATGCTTGTTTAATATTATTTTTTTTTTTAATTACAATATAATATTTTGTCATTATATACTTTACATGGCCAAAAATGTACAGATTCATGAATTCATTGTCAGCAAGAAACAAAGGTGTTTTCAGCTGTCACTAAGATAATATTATATATGTATTGTTTTTATCTTTCATTGGAATAATCCAAAGTTTTATATATGTATAATGATTATTAGTTGATATATTGTTTATTATTAGTAATTTGATTAGTTTAGTATATATTTTATTATCAAATGGAACAATACATTCTTTGCTTATTTTTATAAGTAATTTTAGTTGCAAAATATTATTCATTGTTTTGGTTTTATATCGATGTTTTAACTCATATTTTATTGTCTTAGATGACATCCACCGATAAGGACTTCAGATTTATGGCAACCAATGATTTAATGAGCGAACTCCAAAAAGACAATATTAAACTGGATGATGATTCAGAACGTAAAGTTGTGAAAATGCTTCTAAAACTGTTAGAGGATAAAAATGGAGAAGTACAAAATCTTGCTGTAAAATGGTACACTTATATTTAGATTTAGATGTGAATTTTTTGGTTTGAAATTTCATAATAATATTGTGTGTTAATTTTTAGCATTAGTTGTTTTTCTTTAAAAATTGAATATATGTAATTGCTTGTGTGTTTGAAACGCATATTATGTTTGCAAGATTTTCTTTGTATTTGGACACGATTACAGAAACGTGTCCGATTTCAGTTTGGGCCCACTAGTCAATAAGGTAAAGGAGTACCAGGTGGAAACTATTGTAGATGCCTTATGCATTAACATGGTATCAGATAAAGAACAATTAAGGGATATTTCCAGTATTGGATTGAAGACTGTAATATCTGAGCTTCCTTTGGGATCCAGTGCACTTGTCGCGAATGTTTGTAAACGAATAACCGGCCGACTAAGTAGTGCTATAGAAAAAGTAATTAATGTTTTCAAACTTATAATAACTCATCTTAAAGTTATTAATAATATTTTATATAACATATTCAGAATAAAAGAAATAATTCTTTATTACATACAGCAGGAGGATGTATCCGTACAACTCGAAGCACTCGATATTATGGCCGATTTATTGTCTCGATTTGGTGCTTTGCTAATTACGTTCCATTCCACTATTTTGGCCGCATTGTTGCCGCAACTTTCTTCTCCTCGTCAAGCAGTTAGAAAGCGTACTATAATAGCATTGAGTCATCTCCTAACTTCAAGCAACAATTATTTGTACAATAAACTAGTAGATCATCTACTTGAAGGACTTTATACTCAAACAGCAAAAAATGTAATACGTACTTATATACAATGCATTGCTTCCATTTGGTAAGTATTTTTATGACTAATCACTATGCATTTTTTTCTATATAAATCCTATTTTTATTGTCAAATTTCAGTCGTCAAGCAGGTCACAGATTTGGAGAGCAAATAGAAAAAGTTATGCCATTAATTGTACAGTATAGTAACGAGGATGATGATGAGTTGAGAGAGTATTGTTTGCAAGCATTTGAATCTTTTGTATACAGATGCCCTAAAGAAATTACTCCACATATAAATAAAGTGCGGACACTTTCTTAAGTAATTTTAACATTTTAGATTCATTAGAATTATTCAGAAATTTGCGTTAAATTCTATTTCTTTGCTAGATTATAGAAATCTGTTTGGTTTACATTACATATGACCCAAATTACAATTACGATGATGATATGAACGAAATGTCCGATGCAGAAGATATTATGATGGAAGTAGAAGAAGATGGAGAAGAGGACGCGGAAGACGAATATTCAGATGATGATGACATGAGTTGGAAAGTTCGTAGGGCAGCTGCAAAGTGCCTGGAAGCTGTTGTGTCTAGTAGACGGGAGCTTCTTCCCGAACTTTATAAAGTTGTTTCTCCGGCTTTGATTTCAAGATTTAAAGGTATCTTTCGCATACAGTAAAAACAGTTCAATAGAAAATTAATGTTATTTAAATTGTTACTAATATAGCTATATTTTTGTAGAAAGGGAGGAAAATGTAAAGTCTGATATTTTCCATGCATACATTGCACTTCTAAGACAAACAAGACCAGCTACTGGTGTGGCTCTTGATCCAGATGCAATGGAAGATGATGATGGACCTATTGCATTGCTACAGCAACAAGTCCCATTAATCGTGAAAGCTGTTCATCGTCAAATGAAAGAAAAAAGTATTAAAACGAGACAAGATTGTTTCTCACTGCTGAAAGAATTAGTGCTCGTATTGCCCGGTGCTTTAAGTAATCATATACCTGCGTTGATACCTGGTATACAATATTCTTTGGGAGACAAAAATTCTTCATCCAATATGAAGATTGATACATTGGCATTTGTACATACGTTATTGATAACTCATCAACCGGAAGTGTTTCACGCTCATATGGCAGTTTTAGCGCCACCGATTATATTAGCTGTCGGAGATCCATTTTATAAAATTACAGCAGAA